TAAATACGCGTAGACCATGATGTTTGCATTTCCGCGTACCGCCCATGACCTCATGAAACCTCATAATATTCTTGGCGTCAGGCAAATATACGAAGCTACAAGTGTTTAATGAAAACAGCTCGAGAATATTTTTGCGGTGCCATAGAAAAACACGCTCGGACTTTGGCTGTTGATTTTAAAACGTTCGTGCGCGAATACTGTTTTTGTTTTCAGTTTTTTAGATTTTTCGCGAATAACTGCTCTTATAATATGAATGTATTTAGCCCAGAAAATTACAACTCTGGCCTCACTTTGTTTCCCAGCTAATTTCGGTTATTAAAAGTCCAGAGTTAATATTTACCCGAGTCCAACACTCGACTCTATGTTGTCCATCATCAGGTACACAATACTCGGAATGTCGAAAAAATGTCTTTTCAAGAAAAAAAAAAAAAAAAAACGCGAGTACCGCAGAAGCCCTTGATTAATCTCCTGAAACTAAAAATATAGTTACATACCTGCACAGGAAGAAAAAATTTTTGGTAACAATCATCTACAATTCCGATAATGCTTGTGTACTCACCTGAAACAAAAAGAAAAACATTTGCAATCTTATCTATTAAATACATAAAAAAACTTACTCCTAATAGTATAGAGACACTGTTTAAATTTTAAGCTGTAGGTACTTAAAGTTTTTTTTTGTATTCTCTCTCACGATTGTTCAGGACAAAAAAAAAATTTTTCATTCTGAACCGCTAACAATACAAAACGAGTCTCGAAAACCGATTAGCTCCTAATCACTCTGTCGCAGACGAGAGCCCGAAACAGTTCCAAGTCTCTCGAAACAATGTCTCGCCAAGGTCCCAGTTCGCGAGACCCAAAGCGGCTAAACAATCGCGCCGTTATCCCGCGAGCACAAAGGCGCGGAAAAGTCAGCTCAACTTTGGAAATCGCGCACGCACTACTCCATCCGTACATTTCGCGGAACGGTATAAACCCGAGGGCTTTCGTTTACATTATACCACCCGACGGAATTATGAATGACTCATCCGCTGTGTATACGTGTATAGCCTACAGCTTAAGCTCCGCTTATCTCTGCACTCGCAAGTGTTCGCCCCGAGGCCTCCGTCTGTTTTTTGGATGCAGCTATTGTTTGATGCACGCGCGCGTGCGTTGGTGGAGATAAGTGGCCCTGCATTTTCGAGGATTTTTTTTATTAAAAATTGATCATACGTTGACTATATGATTTTGCCTGACCTTTTTTTTTTCCTCTTTCTTTCTTTTGCTTACTTTTTTAATAGTAACAATAGTGCAATGTAGTTTCAGTAAAGTGTGTTTAAGTACACGTTTAAAGCGTGTTATCGAAATTTCTGCTTTTTATGAAATGCATCATAGTAGCCTTGATAAACGTTTGAAGGAAAACCAAATCGATGCTTCGTAAATCATTTTACCTATTCTATTGAGCTAAACAATTTTTTTCTTGAATGATTAACATAAGAAGGCTGTGGAGGGTAAAACATTTCTGTCACAGATTTTATACACTTGTGAGAGTGTTAAATCTGTGACAGCCAAGTTTTTTCTCTCCACAGCCTTTCTACATTTATATTTCCCATTTAAATGTTTGCAGTTTCGAAAAAACTGATTAACCACTTGGTGCAACATAGATTTTGTTGTCTTTCAAATTCTTATTCACGCCACCACGATGTAAGGCTTATTTTTATAAAAAAAGAATTTACTTTCTTACACAGTTCATGAATTTCGCAGGAATTAATTACATCGGGGAAAAAAGTATCCATCCCCAAGTCTCTGGAAGTGCAAGCGCGAGGTACTTCATTAATCTATGTAACGCGAGTCGTTGAGTTAAGGGGGAAAATGCGAAATTCCGTTCCCCAAATTAAAGTGTAATCTCGTTCCTCGTCTTGCTGCGGAATTTCCGAAAAAAACCTTCCCCAAGCAGAGAACGAAAAAAAAAAAAAGGAAAAATTTCTTGAAAAAAAGGTGAACAAAAGAAATTCAATATCCCCCTTTTTCCCTCCGGTGGTGTAATTAATAGCAAATTTTCTTCCTGCTCTACTAATTTTCACCCCTAATAGCTCAATCTCCTCGCAATCTTTCTCCATTAAGCCACCTCGCCACTCACCCACTGAGGTGAAATTACGTCCCACACGAATTCCTCCCGAAACAACTTCATGCACACTTCACCCCCTCCCCCTCGTGCTACTTCGAAAAACTTGGCTTGCCACTAACGCCTTCGCCGATGTCATATATTTGTTAAACAATATAGAGATTCTTCCGCCCGGGCTTGGTAGGGTGAAAGATTTTTCAGGGCCTTCGTGAAAATTCAAATGAGCCCCAGGGACGGCCAAGGCAGCTTGAGCACTAATTTTTGCCCTCCCCGAAAAAAAAGAGGGCACACGAATTTTCTTTATTCCCGGCTGTTCTTTTCAGCAGGGCGCGCGTTGTAGGTTTCTCCCTTAACTCTGAGCCTTTGTTTCGGGCCAATATAACTTACGGGGGAGAAGAAGGGGGGGTCCGACGCGTGCTCCTTTTGAAAATTTAATGAAGCGCCAAGCGGGGGCAAAAAAAGATGGTTGAAGGTATGTGTGCGCGCGTAAGAGCTGGGATGTTTTTTACGAGTCTGCTATACACCGGGTGCTTCTGCATGCGCGTCCGAGCTTCTCGGAAGATACGGGGGTGGACGCGAAAAAGGGCTTAATTTATGCTTGTTCTCCAAATTTTACACTTTTTCTCGAAACTCGAGGATTTTTTTTCGTTGAAATTTACGTATTGAGTTTACTGCTGAAATCAGTTCAGTGTCATCTTAAAAATTCTTCGTCTCAGAATAACATGCGTCGTGGTTCTGATAACTGTATATAAAATACCTGAGTTAATCAGTCTGATATTTTTAGGAAATAATTTCAGCGACAGCTTTAGAAGACTGCAGATAATCCAGTACGTGCACGAGCGTATTTATTCAAACATCGTAATTATATTTAAACAATTTTTTTTTTACGTAAACACCAAAGAAACAATTGTAATGTTAATGAACAAGTAAACTTTTCTACCTGCTGTTTTTGTTGATCAGCATAATATGTTCTTCAAAAAAACCCTGGTAAAGAAATTAGATTTTTTTTTCGACTTATCCCACGGTTCCCCCATATTTATGCTTGTTAGGTCAAATCACAATTACTCTTACAGCATTGGATTTTTCATTAATTTTTTTAAATTTCGATGTAATGTCGAACTTATAAATTCAGTTCAATTGCTTCTATGTTTTTTTAAACATCATTAATATAACATTTTTATCGCGTAAGCAATGACCTTCCATCTGCGCACTCAAATTATCAACGAGTCAGTGTACTAACCACTAAATAAAAATGATTATCAAAACCGTCACGTATATAAGCAAATCCAATGTCATTGATGATGAAAGATAAATTTGTTCTGTTTAATTTACGATTGTTTAAATGCATAGGTTTGGGTTAGGAAAATTTTTTATGGAAAAAAACTATTGTGGAGTAAAAAACAGGTCCCTCGTCAATCTATGTGCATTAGTTTTTGTCATTTCCAATTCCTGGATTCAGTAAGAGCTGGATATAAATGTTTCGTGATTAATCGATTCGTTTATTCATCCAACATTTATTATTATTCCTGATAGATTTTGCAATCGCATGGACATATTAATGACACACTTACAATTACATTTACAGTGCATACAAATAGTACTTTAGACCTACTTTAAAGAAAAACTGCCTCCCACCGACAAAGACAGCTTCTCTGTCTCTTTTATAATACATTGAACCTCGCGTACCTCTTATCTGTAGTATAAGCCTAAGTATCCAAATTATTCACATGGACGGAAAAACCACGAAAACTCATTGCTGTTGCACAGGTTGACGAGAACCGTCGAGCGGCTCGACTTCATTACTTTGGACTCCCGTAACCCGGAACGCCCCGGTTTTGTTCGCCGCGAGCGCCTGCAGCCGGTGATTTATACGGGCCGCGTCGATTTATGCGCCACGGAGAGAAATTGTTGCATGTGCTCTCGCTGGGGGTTTTTTAAGCGGGCCCTTGTTTAATGGTCATTCCGGTTGGATGGTAATTGTGTTTCGCTAAATGCGAGCTTTAAGCCTTGCGTGAGTTCATGCGAAATATTAAAACTATGAGCCATCGTCGATCAAAGTACGAAATTGTGTGTTACTATACTCAGTAAAATTTTAAATTAACCTTTTAACTTGTCATAATGGGAGTCAATTTAAGAATTACCTGAAATTTTTAATTGAACACTAATCAACTCGGGATTTAATTGAATTACTTATAACCTTAGTGGTACTAGTCTATCTTTAACACAAATTGTGTGTGAAATTTGTGCATCACAAAAAATGTAAGCTCTAGTTGAAATGTTTGATCTAAATATCTACGGATGAAATTACAAAAAACGCAAAATTTTCGAGCCAAATGAGAATCGACGAAATTTTTCGAGACTTCATTAGACTGTGAAAAATAAAACTGATCAAGTCGTCAATGACATATCAACGCAAATTGAGTTTGGTAAGTTTTGGAAAAAGTTTTGGAAACAGTCATTGTTATTCGATCCATAACAAATACGAGTAATTGATAGGTTCAATCGACACTTGAAAGCCACCACTACTACAAATTTTCATCAAAATCAATCTTCTTTGATAAGTTGTCACGTCCATTCCAATAAACCTTAGAGGAGAACTGAAATAGCAAATTGGAAAAGATAAAAACTAGAATACACGACTCAGAGGCGAAGAAGAAAAAAAAGCGAAACGAGAATTCAGCACCTTATCAATAACATGGATTTCGCTGTCGTGCGTATACAATAGCACACACGCATACAGCGTATGTGTACGCACAGCAAAGTGCGATAAACTTCTTATTTTTAATCTTATCAGTCGAGGCCTCGCTTAGCGCGCCTCGCCACACCACGACTTAGTAGTCCGGGGCTAATACACGCGCGCATTAGATAAGTTTTCTGGAGGTACTCTCTTTTTTTTTTTTTTCTTCTTCAACTCCACGAAATATGAAAAACGCGCGCGAGGGAGTGACATTTCGCGTGACGTGCGAAACGCGTGGCCGTGACTGTGCGAACTCCACGTAATAGGGACGGTGAGAAAGTTTTCGCGAGTTCCGAGACAAAGATATACGCACTTGTGAAAATGGAGGACATTATTTCGAAAAAAATCAAGGAGGAGAAAACGCGCGATTACGGAGTGGATGAGATTATGGGCGAGAGGACGGGTTTCTTCTCTTACGTCTACTCGTCTTGGCTGACCAAGTACCTGTGGAAGGCGTACCGCAAAGGGATCACAATACCAGAGCTGCCGGGTGTCTCGGTCGACGATAGTTGTGCCTATAATATACAAGAGTATGCAAAATTCTTGGGTTATTTTTTTATTTTTTTATTTTTTTTTTTTTTTACGAGTTGTGCTTCCAATAAAATGTAGAATAAAAAAACTCGTTGACTCGACTTGCGTTACCTGGAAGATGCGTATTATTCACATTTAAAGTTCACTGAAACATATGATTATTGAAAACAAAAAATTGTTTTCATAAGGCTTTGTTGTGTAAATTGATGACTATAGTACAAGGACGAGTATTCGAATGACATACCAATCAGTAATCGCATTTTGAAACATACGTCTGGTCGATTGGATTTTGTTTTTCAAGTATCGCGTCATTCTTAATAAAAGTATAATGATAACCTGGTATCAGTAATTACTGCATTCTAATTCGTAGAAACTTTTGGCCATAATCGTTAATAGGTTCTTTGCTTTCTAGTTTGACTTTATCGTTAAATTCCCAAGTGTTAAATGCCAATTTTTGATATGACTTTTTACCCAACCTTGAACTATGGACTTTTTGTTTTATTCTTAAAAAAATCGTGCAATTATTTGAATGTCGTATGGAGACTAACAAAAATCCCAGGGGAAACAATTATTTTGAGTCACCATACAATAAAGTGCAAAAGGACAAATAAACCACGATCCATCAACATCGATTTTATCACTTATTGATTAGATTGTATTTTCGCGACTGTTAGCGATAAGACGATAAAAATATTGACAAGTAGTACGCGTCGTTCGACGAAAGATGCTAAAACTTTAGGTAAGGGTCTTTTTGATGGTTAAATTTTTATAATTAAAACGCATGAATTTGTAGAGTTGAAAATTTATGGAACGAAGAAATAAGACGACGGGGACCAACCTCGGCGTCCCTACTGATGGTTGCATGGAGGTTCGTCAGGTCTCGATTCATCGTAGCCTGCACACTGAACGCTTGTGCCCAGATAGTGAAATTCATCCTGCAGGTGGGTGATTAGACTTGTTCGCTGAGTATCCCAATCAAAAACTTGTTTGTAATGTAATGTCTATTTTCAGATGTATTTATTGGGAAAACTCCTTCAATACAGCGATGACAAACAAAAAAGCTTTTCAAACGGCGTGCACTGGATATTATACATAATAGTCTTCGATTTGTTTCAAATGATGCTGTACACGTGGAGCGATATAATGAACCAGAGGACAGCTCTGCGCCTCAAATCCGCTTGCCTCTGTCTATTGTTCAAAAAAGTCACGACCATCAACAGTATTAGACAGAAAAATCCTGATGAGGTTAGTGTTTTTTCTTTTTTTCATCTTAAATCTCAATCGAATCGACCAAGTAGAGAAAGAGAAAAAAAATTTTCTCAATGCATCGAACGGTCTGCATTTATTTTTTCTACTCACATTCAAAATCGATACGAAGGCGATATTATCAAATGCCACGATTAATAACGCGTTCGTTAATTATTTTCCAGCTTATAAGTATGTTATCGAAAGACAGTCATAGGATTTACGATGCCGTTAATTTCGGAACGGCTATAGTCAATGCACCCGTGGTTGTACTCTGCCTGACAATCTACATTTTGACATGGATGAATCCCTTGGCAATATTTGGGCTTCTTGCCTTTCTGGCGTTTTATGTTGTTCAGGTAAGGGACCGATAATATTTCATAAAAAAAAGTAATCCTAATAATCGTTTGTCTTTCGTGTTCACAGTATTGGTTTCGACACTTTATAGATTACTGCGAGAAAAACGCAAAAGAGTGGACCAAAACTAGGATAGAAAGTACCATTGAAGCTCTGGAGAACATAAGATTGATCAAAATTTTCCAGTGGGAACAACCCTTTCTTCGGAACATTATGAGTGAGTGACATTTAATCGTCTTCAACATTTCATACACTGCAATTCCGATGATAAAAATGATTGATTTTTCCAGATATACGCAAAAGAGAGAGTAAATGGATATGGAAAAAAACCTACGTGAAAAGTTTGCTAAATTCTCTGGCCCACGCGATTCCAATCATCACATTCACTATAACGTTTTACATGCACTTTTTGTGCGAAGTCAGCCGAAACAGTATAGCATTCAAAGTAAACATTAATATAAAATACACATTTTAGCGTGATTATCACACAGTAGTTTTCAAATGTGATTCTTACGCGATATTTCATAGATCTCTTATACTATCTTGCAGGTCTTCCCAATATGCATTGTTTACATCGTACAGCTGCACGAAGCTTTGGAAGCAATGAAGACGTCGTTATCTTATCTCAAAGACTCAGTAGTTACATTCAAACGATTAAAGGTATGTTTGATATACATCTACTCATGATTGAAAAAAAGCAATCCTAATAGATTATCTTGTTATTTGACAGGGTGGACTATTATTAGACGACAGCAGTTGTCCCGCAATGAAACCCTACGAAGCATCCCAGGCATTGGCCATAGTCAACGGGACGTTCGTCTACGATGTCTTGAAAAATCCAAACTTAAATTCTGACAACATGAACGATGTCACGTAAGTTTAAACGCAAAAGATTTAATCGATTGAATTCATTAAACTTTTTTCGATTCCTTCAGTAAGAACATGGAAAGTGATCAGGTCAAACCTTCGGAAGAGCAAAAACTAATGACCAATACCTTAGAACGCACACGTCTGGAAATTCTTAGCAACATCAACTTTAAAGCTAAAAAGGGTCAGCTGATTGGTGTCTGCGGTCCAGCTGGAAGCGGAAAATCTTCATTGCTCCTTGCCACATTAGGTCAGATCAAGATGACGTCTGGACAGTTGCTCAGACAAGGAAGCTGTGCTTACGTTGCTCAGAAAGCTTGGGTTGCCAATACAACGATCAAGGACAATATACTGTTTGACGAATCATTGAACAAAAAGAGGTACTACGAGGCCCAGATTGTAAGCAAACTTAGACAGGACATTAAAAATCTTCCTGACAATGAAGATACGGAAATTGGAAATGGGGAATTAGACATTGATGAGGTTTTAAAGCAAAAAATTGCATTGGCTAGGGCTTTCTATGCAGATCGGTAGGCATCATGTTTTTTCGTATGTAAAATAATTCATGGTGATAACGATGATTTATTGTTTCTTTTGTAGTGATGTTTATTTCTTGGACGATCCACTTAGTTGTATGGATGATAATTTGAGCAAGGAAATTTTTGAGGATCTCATTATTCGAGCGCTCGCTGAGAAAACCATAATCATGGTGACTAATGATATTGAGGTTCGCATTTAGAAACGTATTTTTTTGAAAGTAACCTACAATCAAAACTGGTAAAGAGACCAACTTTCTAATTAGTTTTTAGACAGGTGCGATTACATGTACATCATGCGTGATGGAAAAATAGCTGAGCATGGAAAGCACAAGGAATTGATGCGGTTAGGCAAGGAGTACGCTTCTATGGTCAAAACAGCAAATGCCGACGTAGGTGACTATACCAACGAGTAAGGATCAGAACTAATGTATATATTTCTCGTTCAACTGTAATCTGAGCTTTTCTTATTCCTTTGGAATTGTCTTTAGGTTTGAAGAAGTACATGCTGAAGATATTCAAAATGGAATTGACCAATCAAGTAATCCGGAGAAACAAGAAACGTCCAAAACAGCTAACTTGAAAATTGAGTCTTTCACGTTGGAAGTAGATAACAATTTAATTAAAAATGATGGAACTGAACTGAAAAATATTAAAGGAGTAACGTATTACACGTATGCGAAATCCCTCGGGAGTCTGTTCCTGCTCCTTCCAATTATATTGATTTACTTGACCAACGCTTCCATTGAAGTGTACAATTTAGTACGACTCACATGGTGGATAAAGGCAATTGATACGGTAATTTTAAAAATGTGTTAAAATCATCTGAATGCTTTTTACAAATATGAACGCAGTATAAGCTCCTCAACTTTTAGAGGGAAATCTACAACGAGAGTACTTCCACTTATTACGAGCGTTGGTGTAGCGTCAGCCTGTTACTTTTAGTACTTGGTTGTACGATCCAAAGTTTTGTTGCACAATTCGCAATAACACGAATCACTAATAATATGCACGACTCATTGTTAACAAAAATAATTCATGCTCCTGCACGTTTCTTCCACTCAAAGGACTACCACGTTATGAAGTCTCATTTTATGAATGACCTTAATTTTGGTGAGTTTAAGAATAATCCCTCGTCACTTGATTATGAAAACTTGTGATCATTGTTTTTTTTTTTTTTTTTTTTTTTTTTTTTTTTAATCAATTAACCTTGTGGTTGATACTTTTAAATGAATTGATATTTGCTGGTTCTTGTGTCATTTACATTACTTGCGAGCTTTTGCTTCAAANCAAAGGTTTTATTTTTTTATTTTTTTATTTTTTTTTTTTTTTTTTTTAGTTAGTACTGAGCTTCCGACAAAATTGGACAATACTCTGAGATACACAGCTATTATTTTCTTCGCCTTCTTCGTTATGCTCAGTACCATTCCTTGGTTCACAAACTACGTTGTACTCACCATTGTATTTTTTCTTTACGTTGGAAAGATTTACAGGTATGAAAATTTACTTAACGTTCAAACAAGCTGATTAAAAATATCATGCGATTATTTGTTTTTACCAAACAAGAGCTGCCCAAATAAACTTTAAGCTCTTGGAGCACAAAATAAGACTGGAGATCAACAATTTCCTTCAAAACAGTATTGAGGGGCTGAGCACAATCCGCATCTTCAAAAAGGAAAATGATTTAATGAGCAAGTAAAACATACTGTTTATCATAAATCACGTTAACAAGCCAACATCCTTTGTATTTTACGCGATAAAATAATAACGTTTCTTATTTTGCTCCAAATCCATTAGGTTTCAGGATTTAGTTGACCTCAATAGTGCATGCTGTTTCATCCGAGGTGTCTCAAAGAGTTGGTTATCTTCGAGGCTTGAGGTTCTCACGGCTAGCTGTATATTTGTCGCTTCCTTTTTTACAATCAGCCTACAAGAACATACGTCACCAGTACTGTTTGGACTGACTTTTGTTTACATATTCCAAGTGCCGCATATCATAAAAATGGGCATCAATTATCTACTCAAGACAGAACAGTGCTTTACTAATGTACAAAACATATGTGACTACCTTGCAGTGAGTAAACCTTTTTTTTAATAATTTTACATTGGATTTTGGAAAGTAAGGTTCCATCTTTACTACTCTAGGCTCTTCAGTATGGCGATGACGATAAAACAACAACACCTACTCTCAATACTGAAGAATGGCTGCCAGCAGGACACGTTCAGTTTGAAGATGTGGTAATTCGCCCCAGGTTGGACGAGCCTCCTATAATAGATCACTTGTCGTTTCAAGTAAAGAAAGGAGAAAAATGCGGTAAGCCATTAGGTCCATTTTAGATTGACCAAAATGTTGTTGGTTGTAATGAGCAAAAAACTTGTCCCACATCTGATTATTCAGGAATACTAACCAAAACAAAGGCTGAAAGAAATGCAATCGTAGCCGCAATCTATGGTCTTTACAAGTTGAACAATGGCCAAATTACCATTGACTGCACTGACGTACGAATCATTGGTTTAAAACGACTGACATCCCAAGTGTTTTTCGTACCCGAAAATCCCACATTTTACGGCACCGTCAGGTAAATAAACAATTACTGGATTGCCTGTTCCGTCAAGTCACTTGTTTTTACAAAAAATTTCCGTTACCACCAACTAAGGTGTTTCCTGGATTCCAAAAATTGTTACGACGATGCAGAAATATGGAGCGTTCTGGAAAAACTACACCTGAAAGACGTAATCTCGAAGGTTGCCTCGCAACTTGACTGTTCGTTTGCCAAAAGTATGTTCAACGCCGTTGAGAAGCAATTACTCTTCTTCGCAAGGGCTTATCTCAGCCAATGCAAAGTAAGTCCTGGTAAAAATGACCAAAACAATTTTCTGTACTACATCAATGTCTTTTCTGCCTCGTAGGTCATACTGATGGAGGAGAACTCGAGCACCGATCATCAAAGCACTGCTTTGATTCAGGAGGTGATCGAAAAACAGTTCGAGGGCTGTACAGTACTGGTTTTTGCTCAGCGTCCGAGATTTGTGCTGTCGTGTCATTCCGTGTTGATTGTTGAGAATGGCAGAATGTTGGGGAACGATTACACGTCGACTTTTTTGGAGCAGGAGGAATCGCATTTTAAAAAGTGGATGGTGGAAGACGAGTTGGACAGGTCGAGGTTCTGAGTATGAGATTGTGCAAATTGAACCGAAACGTCAGATTGACAAACTCTAAAACTGAATTGGTCAAAGTTGGGTCATTAATTTTCCAGCGGATCTAAGTTCAGCACAGTACAGTAGTTAAAAAGCCACTGACTTTAAACAAAAAAAAATAGTCCTAACAGGCTCAAAACTGTTAATTGAATACATTCAAGATCAAACGTTGGTAGCAAACGTAAACGACATATAGAGTTCCACTGATTTATAAGCGACCATATTGTTAAAATTTTTAAACCAGCGAATGATCACTGATTCAGTTTTAGAGAATAAAAGAATGGAAAGCCATTGAGAAACGTCTCTTTCAAGCTATGGATTTCGATTAGTTTTGGGTGTTTTTTGAAATCTTTAGCAGCAATGATTTTTTATGTTTTGTTTCATAAGCAACAATGCAGTGTAAAATTCTTTCATGATTTTGAAATACTTTAGTAACCATCACTCATTTTACAAATTGTATATTAGCAATTGTATTATTTTATATTATTGTCAGAGTTTATATGTACACTTGCTTGAAATTAAATCATACATAACATTTGATTTCTTCATCGATTTTTCTATACTTTATGAGGTCAAATACTTTGTTACGACAAATTGGTTTTAGTTTTCTAACCAATTGATTTGTGAACAGCATAAATGATTTCGTTGCTTCAACTAATGAAAATATAATTTATTTACTGATGAATACTTAATTTACTTTCTCAACGTGATTCGATATTTAATGTTTTGAAGAGAAGCCGACGCTACATATACTTATTTAAACTTAAATTAAGTTATACACATAACATGTAATGTTTACATTAATTTTGATATCGATATTATTATATAAAAATAAAATAAAATTTACAAAAAATAATCATGTAAACGTATAGGTAATAATCATGGTAATAATAACAATACTTTATACTCGTACTACATTTCAAACTCTTGAAAATCATTGATGAAATCCAACAACACGAAATCATCCAATAAAATGTAACTTTAAGTAACGTATCTATTCTACATTCCCCGAGTAAAGTCAGAGAGAACAATCATAGTATTGATCATAAAAAAAGGTGGAGCACTGGTGGTAAATTGATAACGTCTGCGTTTGCTATTCAAAGTCTAAATATAATGTATGCGTACGCAACAGTACTCACACGTGCGTACATATACAGACACTTTGGTGTAGGCGAGGCCGCAATATTGACGTTATCACGAGCCGACTGGCCACGTTTGATTGAAATCCATTAACTGATACACGTTCGTTTCATTTACTTAGTATTTATACTACCATAGGTGGTAAGAGCTCGAGGAGAGGAACGCTGGTGAATTTCCGCTGGGAATAAATATATTTTTAGATTCGATCGATCAGTAAAACTAGAATTTCCTATCGAGCACACATCACTAGAGAAATGTATGTGGGTAATTCCATCTAAAGTGGTTTATTTCATGTACCAGTCGATTACAACGTTGTGTGAGGAGATCTTTGTCTGACAACTTTTTCAAATAATCAAGGAAGGTCTTCTGCCGAAGGTACAACAGAATTCAGATCATAAACAAGTATTTCTTTAGTTTGAAGGGAAAAGAGCCAAATTCTACTGTTTTGGCGATCGATACAAGCAAAATACGGCTTTTATTATTGTTTGTTTGTGAGACAAAAAAAAATATCAACATTGTAAAAGAACTAAAAAAAAAAATATATATATCCAAGACTTGTAAGCTGTTTAAGTTGTAGAAAACATTCTCGCAGATTCTATTTGATACGTTTGTAACGTTTCGTATCTTACAGAGGCTGAGATAACTTAAGAAATAAGCCAGTGCTACAGACTCATACATTTTGAAGATCAGTCTCTTCAAAATGAACAGTAAGAGTACACCAAATGATATTGTGGATCTTTGCGAAGTGTTCGGTTATCGGCTGGGAAGTTGATGGATTAAAAAAAAAAATCGTTACGTACACATGATATAAGTATTGTACAAGGGCAAAATTTAATATTCATTTAGAACGTCACAATCTCAAGTTTACAACAATTTAACAATAGCCTTATTTGTTGTTTTGGTTATTAAGAATACAAGAAAAATGTTAAAAACATTTTTTTTATGCTCTGTCCACTTCAATCTTCAGGATGTTCCTTTTTATAGAATTACCCATATAACCAGTCGAAATTCCGCTGAGCGATTTTTTATGGTGAGAAAAATAATCACGTAAGCAAAACTTACTTGACACAAATTAACACTTGATATACTAAGACTGCACATTTGTTTGAGTCAATTTAAATAGTTGGTCATTGCGTGTAATTGATATTTTGAAAATGTTGGCATAGTTATACAGTATAAATACTTAAATCAATGCAAATAACGTGTTTTGGTACATAGAATGATTGTTTAAACTCCATTCTGCTGTTAGTGTGGAATTTATTGATATCCCATAGCATTGATACAAAAAAATGTATTTACTTAATTTTTGAACAAAGCAACAAAGTTGTGAGCCAAGTGACTAATTATGTGCTTAAGCCTATCATACTTTTAAGGTGGCTCCAGTGTCCTCAATGTTAAAATTATAAATAACCCAACCGAGGTTAATAAAATTGAATTATATTCTTTGTATTCCTATCTTTCTATTCGTATAAAAAAAAATTAATTAAAAAAAAATCATGCTTACAAAATCGTAGTTTTAAAACGGGTTAGATAGGAAATGCAAGCTTACGCGATCTACAACCTACTGCTGCACTTATATAAATAACCCGTAAGGTGTAAAAAATATACTATCTTGTATATATTATTACGTAGTTTTCGATGACATGAGAAAAGTGTCTTGTTATCGAATAAAATCTTTAAATAATCGGAGACTAAGTAGGCAATGTGAATCGTATAGTTGGGGAAAAAACAAATATGGCAACGTTGCTATGTGCTATATTGACACTGGATTCCCGCGAAATTCATACACTCAACGTACAGCATACTGAAACCTTTATTGAATAATATCGGGAAAAAGTTTTTGGATGTGGTTTTTTGTTTTGATTTTTATTGCTATGGGTTATTGTGATAGATGATAGATACGGCTTTGATAAATATCAGATGGTTACAATAACGTACATGTTGAAAGGATGTTATACGTTCAGTATACGTTTGTTTTGATGTTATAATAAACTTATAATAAATTTTCACTGTATATACGTATACTGTAATATATATGTATGGTAACAAAAACAATTTTATTAATATGACAGAAAAAATTGTGTTTACAATACAGCACGATTCAAACTAAGTACATTGTTGTAAGATTTGTTCATATAATTTTTCAATTATTTTTTTGTTAATTTTTACACGTGGTTTTGTTCCAATATTTTCACCCAATAAAATTTTTAAACTGTCGATACCTCCCACTTTACAAGCTTCTTTCAGCGTCTGTTTATTTATACCTGCATTTGCCATTTTATTTTTCATAAAATTGGAAATTGGTAAATTGATTAATGTTTTCTTTATTTCATCTTTTTTAATGATAAATTCTTTGGGATTAATTATCATTTGAACATGGCGAGTATGCATGATTATAGTACTCGTGTCACTGCAATGTTTATCAATTAACTTTTTGAGCATTAAAACGTCATTTAAAGCGTTGTGGGCGCCTTTCGTATCTTCAGGACTAAGGTGATCCAACACTAAATCTGTCAATCGGTAGCTTAACTTTTTAACTTTTCTTTCGGGAAACAACTGTCTGCAGATTGGCAAGCTGTCAATGAATCCTTTGACGAATATTTTAAATTCATTGAGTAGCCTTAATGAAGTAGCTAATTGAATGATTTTTTTAGCATCAAACCTATAATGTACAAAATGTTTAGCATCAGTTTGTATGTCTTTATATCATAATTAAATAACACACAGTACCTAAAACAGTTATGAGCTAATAATATGCATGGTTTGTTTGTGAGTTTTAAAAAGTAAAGAAAGCTCACAAAAGCTTCCCTAGCCAAATAAGTTGTTACTATAGAGCCATTCACATGCATTATGCCGTTGGAAATTGTGATGTTAGTTAGTGCCGATGCTTCTGCTGACATGTTTTTTGTAGGCATTATATAAACGTCGAACGTTATTTCTCCAACAGCAGCAGATATCTGTGTGAAAAGATAATAATTTGTAACTACATCTTTTGATTAAAAAAAAAAAAAATGAAAAGGGAAGAGTACGTAATATATACTTTGCACTACTTTCAGTCTACTTACCTGAACAATTTCATCTGACTCCCGAAGCCCAGTTGTTTCTAAATCAAAAACAACTATGACCCAACTCTCACGTTTGGAATCATCTATAAAAAATTCGTTACTAACAATTATTTCTGTTTATGATGTAAGTCACTGTTTTAAATTAGCAGATTTATACTAACTACATACTAACAACAGATTTATCAATTAAATGCGAAGTGTTCAAGTATCCCGATCCAGGTTAACTTATGCCTTCTTTTCGCAAAGTAGATGAATTTTTAGAAGTTCTTTGTTTTTTCAATTCCAGACGCCGTCTCTTTCGTGGAATCGTTTTTTTTTTTTTTCAGCTGTATGCATGAAATCCAAATGTTTCCTTTTTCTGTAAGCTTGAGCATGAATCGAGCTTGATAAATTTAATAAAGCGTTCAAAGAAGTATGAAATTCATAACCCAAATTCTTCTGACAGACTGCTAATGCGACTCGATAGTTATGAGATTCAGATTCCCCATAAAATGCTGATTTTGGATTTTTACTGCAGATCACATTATTGAAAGATTCATTACCTTGACTAGAAGCACAAGGTGCTATTTGAGACGCATTATTAACGAATGGCTGAATGATTTTTTCCAATTTATCTCTCAAATTTACATCTGTAAGGCATTTTCCATTTGGAAAATATTTGAAGACGTGACTATCACCTGCATCTTTACATGAATTCATACAATTTTGATGGTCACCAAAAGCATGTGCAGTAATATTTTGTAAAGATAATTTGACTTGAATTGGATTGTTTTTATTCTTCGTAAGCGACAAAGAAAACATCTTAGAAAAATACTGCCTTAGCACGCTATTCAACTTCATTTCATACAGTTTAGAGTTGAATGTTTTTACTACATGATTCAAGTCAGACCACTTTTGGATAGAATATGGTGAAAGACGCCTAAGAGCAGCGATAGCAGATGAATCGTCATCTCCAATAAGAGTTCTAATCCTACAGTTAGCAGAAAGAAAATTCTCGTTTTTCAAAATAATGTCAACTGCCATTTCTGCCTCCATAGCTCTTGCCGATCCAACGTGATTTTTTCTACAATCATGAATTTTCGCTGTTTTTTCCTTGCATTGCCTGCAATAAATATTACGGCATGCGTATGCTATTACTTTTTTTGAGAAAAACCCAATCAATGAAGCGTGGCCTACACGTAAATTAGACAAAAATGAAGTTGTAGTAATGAGAAGTAATTGCATCAAGATTTGTTCTCGTGAATAAATATAGTTAACACCGTACCACTCATACTATTATGTTGTCTTCCTCGTTTTGTCCATGCAGCATCATACGAAGCACTTATATCCAAGGTATCATTTATTTCAGGTGAGCCCTCAATTGTACTAAAAAAATTCGCAAACTGAAGTTATGAACAGTAGGATCAACTTATTCTTTAAATAGCATAAGTAAAAAATGATTAAATATTGTTATATGTACTTTATTTTTTGTTATATAATA